CCACTGCTTCCGGGGAGCCTCTGTCCTTGGAAGCCAATCGCCTCTATGAGTCCCTTGCTGTAGTCCTGCAGCGTGAAAATGCTCGTGCCGTGCTTCGGCGCCTGCCCGAGCCTGCGCCGGCGCTGAGGCCGGGGGCTCACCTCACAGCACCCTGATGCCTTCTCGTGCCCCTTGCCATGCCTGCCTTTCCTTGACGCAGCTATCTCCTCGGCCTCCTTGGCCTTCGCTTGGGTCAGTCAAGCCTCGCCGCTTCTCTGCCTCCCAGTCCCTAGCGTGCAGTTCCCAGGCAAGGAGACGCTGGGGGCCTTCCCCTGAGTCCCTACCTGGACGGCTTGCAGCCTCCCCTTTCCTGACAGAAGTTCAGATGTTCGGGTTTTTTTCCTCTCACAGCCCAGTGTAAGTACCATTGAGGCTACAGTACACAGACAGACTCTCGTTAGAGTTTTTTCTGTTCATTATCCTGACCAATCTGTGCGTTAAACTTGCCATGGCCGCGGTCAATGTTGGGGACTTTCGTCTGAAACTTGGGATGAACGGGATGAACTGCTTAGACTAGCTTGAGTTTGGGCTTGGACAAGCCTGACTTGCCACTACCGACCTGAAGACATGATGAGGCAAGCAGGGCCTTAAACAGACATCTCTTGATAAAGGTCCTGCAACTAAGCTTTCTAGTCACATGTTTGGTGTTTCGATGCCTCGTTCATTTTTAGCGAAGTCCAACACTTGAACCAATCTTCATGCAGAAAACGTTATTTGGGAAGGGCTTTCTGGAAATGCTTTCTGGCCACCGCCGGTCACAACAGCTTGGGCTCATGCATTGCCATGCACCGCACACATGTAAAAGGATTGTACTTGAGTTTTCTGAATTGGCGCACGCTGCGGGCTCCCCCGTGGTGTGCGCGCCGCTGCCCCCCGGCACGGCTGGCGAGTTGCAGCAGACCGCCCAGCCCTCCCAGTCCGGCTCCTGGATGGGAAAAAGATGGACGTTCCCCCTTCCCCCCTCTTTCTCTCTCCTCGAACTTCAGCCAGCGGCCCGCCGAATCCTGTCAGAGTGCCTTTCGTTATCAACACCCCTTCAAGTTCAAGAAATGTGCCTGCAGGGAGGCACAGCGGTGGTTCACGACGACGTCTAGCATGGGCACTATGTCCTGAAACTGCCACATGTCAATGTAACCTTGAAATGTTGTCCATGGAATGGTGTCCCCGCCTGCTCATGCATGCTGCCGATGAGGTGTTGGAGCTCCTGTCGCCCAAGACGCTGGGTTCCAGATGCTAGCTGGATTCTGTTGTCTTTCGTCCTCCGCAGTCCCGTAGTTGTTGTCCAAGACCTTAAGCAAGAAAACCCGATTCACATGACCAAGTTCACAACACCTGAGCCCAGAACGTACCATTTCCTGCAGTTGCGAAATCAGATTGAAAGACAGATTATGAAAATACATGGATGTGCGAAGACCAGTAGTTTCCAACAGCATTACGGTTGGGTTTCAGTCTCTGATAAAGCTGGAAAATTTGAAAGTTGGGCGGTCTTTTGCCAAAATTGGCGATGAACCGGAAATAAACCGGAAATGGACAAATTAAAGGGGAAATGGGTCAGCTCATGCGGAAATGGACTGGAAAAGAAAGCGGAAATGAGCCGGAAATGAACCGGAAATGAAAGCGGAAATGAAACTGGAAATGGAAGCGGAAATGAACCAGAAATGGACCGGAAATGAATGTGGAAATGACACCACATGTCAATGTCATTAAAAACCACACCTGGGAATTGGCTGATGATTTCGTGTGGGCATAGCAGGGGAACGAGGGAGCCCTGCCCTAACTAAATGTTGGCTCCAAGGTCTTCTGCCAGGAGATGTGCCTGGCCTCCCCCTTTACGGAGGCAAGGAACTAGGTCCACGGCGCGTGTTCTGCCGTGGGTTTTTAAGGACTTGCGCACAAGCAGAAGTTGAGTGTAGCAGTCTTTTGTGTGGGAATTTACAGTACTCCGTGGCTTTGCTTGTAAATGCACGATTTCTACACCGTTTTCCAAGCAGAAAATGGCTTTCGTACTGTAACTTACACGCTAAAGTGCTGTTTTCGGGGTCCGCGAAACTAACGTCAAAAACCAGGTTCGTACTGTAAATTCCCACACGAACAAGGCGCGCAAAAGACTGTTGTTTTCTACAGCAGGGCTTCGAGTGTGACCAAAAACTCCTTGGGGAGTAGTGGAGCCTATGGACTTTCTCCACATCCATTGACTAACCAGAAGCTGGATGCTCTGGTAATCGTATGCT